AAATATATATATATATATATATATACCTTGGGTTGGGCAGGGTCAATTGGTTGGATACCCTAGCTTTAAACCCTGCCCAACCCGAATATCGGGCTCAGCCTGACCATGCCCAATCAGTGTTGGGTATATTTTTTAGGGCTCGGGTCGAGCATATTTTAATCAGGTCGGGTCAAGCATTATGGACACATAGGCATTTTGTACAGGCCTAATATGCGGTAGATAAAAGTACATTGATCAATAACTCCACTCTATTACTACTGGGAATTAAAAATCTAAAACTAACAACCAATGGTTCCTTGGGAGTAGTGGCTACTTGCTTTGCCTTTTATACCATTAATTAAGGATGTTTAGCTTATATCCATCCTGATTGACTTAGTTCTATCTCGATCATATTAGGACAAGTCTTGTCTTGGCCTGAAAACAATTGAAACAGGATTTTACTGGACAAAACAAGACACAGGACTGCCCTTGAGATGTCCCGAACCATCATGAATATTATATATATTATTTTTTATCTTAAGGACATACATTAAATATGTTAATTATATTAATATAATTTATACTTATACTAATTATATCAATTATAATTCTAATATGTGCAATTCTTATTTAAAACTATTTTTTTGTACTGATAATTTTAAAAACATAGAGCAAGTACGAAGTAATATCTTTCTTTATAATATATTAATTATATTAATACAATTTATTTTTATATTTATTTATTTAATAACTTTTGTTTATATCATAATTTTTACTTTATTTTTGGAAGAGTGAGAACAATAACTTGATATTATGCCTGATTTGTTTGTTGTTGTTACTTTTATAGTCTAGAGATAACTTATAATTGCTATCATAATATTATATACCTGCATTAACTTTAAATTATTGTAATTTATGTACTTGTGTTATTTTGATTTTAAACTTAATAAATTACATAATTTAAACTTTTAATAAATATTATTATTTAGATCTTTCTCTCATATTGTTTGATTTATCGAGACGGTGGGATCTTGATCTCATCTCGATCAAATCCTGATTCCTAATGGGATGGGACAACTTTCAAGATGGGATGGAACATATAGGATAAAAATTTAGTTTCAATCTTTTTTAGAAACGATACAAGAGACAGGAGTGTCCCAATCCTATCTCCTCCCGTGAACACCCAACTATCAGTGTTCAATTTTGCAAAGGTCATGTTTCAGCAAATCCTCTCCCCTGTCAAAGAAACGAAATGAAACATTTTTATCTTGCGTTCCATTTATTTTTGAGCTAATGCAGGTGTTTGACGTTTTTGCAGTTCAATCTATCAACTGGCACAATCCAGAGAGGCTATAAATTGTCAAAATGCTACCAAGGAAAATGAGAGGAACTGATAAAACCGCCAAAAAGAAAAGCAAATGGCATCAAAGCAGCGTAGCCCTTTGAATTTGACGATGAAATCATGGAACTTTGGATTTCAGAGGCTGACTCGCCAGACACACAGCCGTTCTCTTCCCTCATCATTTCAGATTACATATCAGGATCTATGATTACAACCATTAACCCCAAAAACAATCTATCTCGAGCAACAATTGCAATCAAAAGTAAATGTAACAAACATTTCATTGCACATTGGAGAACAGGGAGCCAAGACATGAAACAGAATTATAGCATAGCATCTAAATGATCACTTCATTCAAAAACAGTCATTCAGTTTCCATTTTCACATTTCTATTTTATTTGTTTCATCCCTCTGTCTGTGTTTTGCAAAAAGTAGGGCGATTAATATTTCCCCTGTCCAGGCAGAGAGAAGAAGAGGAAGTTTAGCATGGCAGCCCAAAATAAGTACTTCTTTTTCATTTTTTTAATTATATTTTTATGTAAACTATGAAGATATTTCAACAAGAATTTTATTATATTCTTTATTCAGCTTCTACTCAGTGTTTGATCCAGTTTATGTTGCTATCTCTCATGAGTACTATCCACCAGAGTCTTTTTAACTTTTTCCTCTTACTCTAGAGAACTTCAGTTTGTAATTTTCTTTTTATCTTCTTAATATATTCGCCAGCCTTTTTAATCCCAAAGAAAAGCAATACTTTGATAAAACAATAAATAAACGTAGGAATTTTAAGGGAAAAATTTACATGAAATTATTATGATGAAAATGAGGGTAGGACTGGAAAGCGTGGAACTAATTCATGGATAACTTGGATCTGGGCCTGGTTACTTTGTGACAACCCTTGCTGAACATGGCCCTTGCTCTTGGGCTCTCAGCATTACTCTTTTGTTTTGATTATCCACCCAAGCACACCATTCACGATCAAGGCATTACTGATTGGGCTGTATTTAAGGGTTTAAATCTTGCTAGGGACTTTGGACTCAAGCAGGTTATTATTGAGTCTGATTCTAAACAACTTGTGGACATCGTCAACGATGAGAAAGACATCGCTTAGTATAATGCTGGGTCTTTGATGTTAATGGAGGTCACGTTGAAGCTTAAGTGGGACATCAAAATACCTTGCACTCCACACCAGTTGAATCTTGTGGCTGATGGACTTGCTGGACTTGGCTTCAACAATGTTTCTTAATTGTATGACACGGTTCTTCCTTACCTGAGGACTTTAGTGTGAAAAAAAATCTTTTGAAAATTCAGGACCTATTTGAATATCTCACATTTAACTTTTAGAGTGTACTTTTGATATTTTTTAAAAGCCTAATGTTGTTTGAGTAAAAACAAGGGGATGAAATTACTTTTTTAAAAGTACATTCTAAATGTCGTTAAAAGTCTATTTTGCAAAAACACACTAGAGTTACTTTTGTATTTGAAAAAGTTTGTTGAGTTTGTAATGAAATAAGTAAAATTTCTGAAGTTTTTATATTACCCTTATTCTTCACCTGTCATTATGGACCACAAAAACCACATACTATCCTTCTAGTCTCTTACGTTATTTATACCGCTATTTCGCCTGTGTTTCAACAAGAAAAGAATAAATTATTTTCACATTAAAAAATAAATTTTTTATACCTTTTAATATTTAAAAATTATTTATACATCTTTATTATATATATATATATATATTATTCAACATATAAAATTTTATATTATTTGTATTCTTTTGTTATATATATTATTAACCATTTTAAATTTTATACTACTGTTTATATATTTTTTAATAACTCAGATTATACAAAACAAAAATTACACATACTAAATTCTACATGTATTTTTTTGGACAAAATGTCCTTTTTAGTAACTATATATTTAAAATTGTCTTTCATTGTATATCATCCAAACATTTTTAATAGAGCAGTCCTTTAAAATTTTTGTCACATTTTTAATAAATTATATTTATACAAAAAAATTATAAATTATTATAAATCAATATCTTTTTTTATAATTATACATTCAAAATCACATTTTATTATATATAATTCAAACAACTTTAAATTTATTAAACTAATGATTGAAAAAATGTATTAAAATATAGATTTTATGATGACAATTGACTTTTATCAAATTAACTTTGTTAACTAAATTTTTAACCTACAGAAGAATCAAACACTCACTTAATCCCTACATTATAGTTCCTTTTAATTTTGGGCTTTGACCCTTCTTGTTTTTTTTTTAAAAAAAAAACAAACATGCGGACCAAAAAATGAAAGAAGGGGACAAACACGGGCGAGGCTGCTCTTCTTGTCACTTATCTTATTCGAGAACTCGAAGCAGTGGAGTGGGTGCTCCACATGACTAAATTTCCCCTTTCCTAGGAAGTCGAGTGTGAGAAGGGGAGCCATATGCGAAGTGACCTAACTTTTGTTGCTTTCATTAATTAACCCGTAAATGCCACATGCTACGCATTATGAAGATAAAGATATCATTGCTGCATTCAATTACAGGCTCAGGAGCTTGCATATCTGCTTCGGCTTTGTGACGCCGTTCCCGGTTATTTTGGGCACCGACGACTTCACTCGTTGCCTTTTAAACGTCCGCGCCATCCTCATTATCCGTATTTCACCTGTGCATGGTTTCCAGATAAAGAAGGCAAACAATTAGAAAATGAAATAGAATTGAATATGGTTTCCACGTAGCATGCTCTGTATACGTGCATGATTGCGTCCACACCATTGCTCGTTGTTGGGTATACCACATTTCACATTTGAAAAGGATTTTCATAAAAAGTTATTTGAATATTAAATAATTGAGAAAATATACTTTTACAAAATACTTTCTAAAATAATTTGATGTGAATTTACAACAGTAACTTGAGATAGGATTTGAAATGTAGATTTAAAAAGTGAGATATTACTTAACCATACTATTTCTTTGTTAGATTATTCTTTTATTTAAAATATATTATTAATTTATTAAAAATATAATTATCATTTGAATAATAATTATTATTAGAGATCAATCTTTTAGTATTATAAATTGAATAATTGATCTTATTAATTTTTAGCATTAATTTATATTCATCCATTTATATAATGTTTGTCTAGTGTATCAAATTTTATATTTTATACTGTTATTAATTAATATATCAACAATGTTAATTATCAATATTTATATATATTGAACTATTTATTATATAATTTTTTTAATATATCAAACTTTTTATTTTTTATTATTCAACAGATTAAATTTTAGGAAATTTAAATCTTTTATTATATTTTTTAAACATTTTAAATATATTACATTTATATAATAAAAATTATAAAATATTATAAATTAATATTTTTTAATAATTATACATTAAAAAATATATTTCATCATCATAATTTAAACAATTTTTAATTTATTAAATTAAATTTTTAAAAAATATATCTGGATATAATTTTTATTATAATAATTAATTTTTATTAAATAAATTTTAAACAAGTAAATTTTTATAATTAAAAATCAAACACACAATAAGTCAGCGGATGGATCGACAATTTCGAGATCCTCCTCCCCCCGAGTCCTCCGGCTTTGACAACGTGTCACAGCTACTTGACAGGCCCACGCATGTCCCTCGCTGCCTCTTCCATCTGACTCTCTCTCTCTCTCTCTCCCTCTCTCCCCTTCTCTATTATTAACCGTCGTTCTTGGAAGTTGGCACTCCCACTTCTATCTCTCTTGCGTTCTCATGAATTAAATTTTCATGAACCAGCTCCCTTGGCTTTCTTCTTCTGCTTCTGCTAACCTGATGGCTACTATTCCCATTAGCTACAACTACTGTTGGACTTTTTCTGATCCTGGGCATGCCTTTCTCTTGTCCTTGGCTCGCTTCAAATTCGGCGGAATCAAAGTTTCTCGCCTGAATGCTGGGGGTGACCGACCTCATCGTCTACGTGTGTTTTGCCAATTCCAAGTAATTCTTTTCTTCGCCGCCCTCTTGCGTCGACAAGTTTCGCTTCAATTTTTTTTTTTTGTGGTTTTGAGTTATGTCTCATTAAGCTCTTTTGAACCCAATCTGAGGGTTCTATTGCAAGAGAAGAGACATTGTCTGTGCGTCTTGCGAAGTTGTCCCCGACTGGATATAAGGCATGGATTTCGGATTTTGCTCTACCGTTGTTAAACTTGTCATTATCTCTTCTGTAGCGTTTCCTGTTGAACATGACGGATAGTTAATTTGTTCGTGTAGTTGTCTGGCCTCATTTGAAATTAATTAGAGAGAGAGTGTGTGTGTGTGTGTGTGTGTGAGAAAGGGAATATTTCAACCAACAAGATAGCGTTTTAAACTCTCAAGGCACAAGCAAGGTGTCTTAAAAAACGACTAATATGTGGAAGAATGAAATGCATAGTGACGATGTCTGAAACTTCACAACCTCGGATTGAGGCCAGCTGTCCAGTGGGTTCAATAATGCTCGTACGCGGCAGCCAACTTTTTTTCACAATTTGTTTCTTCTTTACAACAAAAATCGAGTATGCCTTACCTCATCATTACAAAAAGAAAAGAGCATTATCTTTGACTAACAATCCGATTTTGCTTCACGCCCTCAAAATTCTGCCTGGAAGAGCCTCTTCAACACAATGACCATAAAGCACGAATGGCCTTGGAAGCTAAAGAGGAAACTGAAATTCTCATGCTATCAAAGCCCCCCGGGGGCGGGGATCTTTTGGCTGCATGATTTTAAATTTTCTGATGTTGGTCAAGTTGAGGTGTCCTTGGTTAAATTTTAGTTGTTAATAGAGCCCAATGGCATCATGTGATCTATTTATCCAACCTCACTATGAGATAAAACTTGTTATTGTCATTGTCGTGGGTCAAATTGCCGTAAAGTAACGTGTATTTTTGAAACATGGAGAAGAACGTTGTGAAGGAAACATCCGAGCATAAGTGAATGAAATTAGGTGGGTATGTTTGAAAGGTCTCATGATTTCATTTATTAGGACCAAAAAATAAACCTAGGGAAAGTTAACATTTAGAAATTGGCTCGGACCATGTTTTGATGAATAATCTTCGCAGCTTCATAATCTGTCAATCACAATTTTCAAGACAAAATAGTAAAAGGAATGGTTCCTAATGTCAATTTCTTCATGCCAAGCAACCATGACAATCATGACTGAAATGTTGACATGCAAAGTATGCCTAAAGAGTATCAAATTGCAACGTTAATATTGTTATAACACTTTTGCGTGCAGACGGAGAAAAAACAGATAAGAAAGTGTTCTCCTTTTCTTGAAAGTTTGTTACTTTCTGGTGAGGGTGCTCAGGCCCCAGATGAGTGGAAAGCTGTTCCTGACATTTGGAGATCTTCAGCAGAGAAGTATGGGGATCGAGTAGCCTTGGTGGACCCATATCATGATCCACCTTCAACTATCACATATAAGCAGGTCTTTTGATTCGTTTATTGGTGTTAATCTCTTTTCGTTTGTTTTTTTTTTTCTGGGACAAATTTCACCCAACAAGTGATGGAATGCAATATGTTTTAATGCAGTCTCTACAGTTTGATAGTGATTAGTTGATTCCTATTATGAAGTTTTGAAAAAAAATGATCATTAAGTTCAACCAATGACCTGTGAGTGGAAATTCTGTTTATGGAGACTGATTACTGGATATTGTATGAATGAATAGGATGAAAAATCCATTTATTAGTCCAACAAGCACTTCAAACTCTTCTGATTTGATTTGCTTCTCTTACCTCTCATCTAAATGGGTTTCTAATTATGTCGGGAAAGTGTTAAATGGTACTCGATTAGCATTTATTATTATTATTATTATTATTATTATTATTATTATTATTATTATTATTTTTATTTTTTAATCTTATATCTACATGCCCCAATCAGGAAGTAGGACTTCTATAATGGTGTCCGCTTCTGATATTTGTTAAGGTTCTAAAACCTAATAGTTTAACATATAATGGATATCTGCTTTAATCAATGCTTATCAAAGATAAATTGCCTTATTAATTTGTTTATATCTTATGTTTTCTTTCACACGGAAATTTCAGTTGGAGCAGTCAATTTTGGATTTTGCTGAAGGCTTGAGAGTAATTGGACTTAGACCAGATGAGAAGGTTGCACTTTTTGCTGATAATTCTTGTAGGTGGCTTGTAGCAGATCAAGGTGTGCGTCATCATGATCTCCATGACTTTTACTGCATAAATAGTTAAGATCAATCCACAGTCAGTATATTTATTTCACGAAATTGTAACTTGTACAGATGTTATGCAATGCAAATTTTGTCAGTTTTCAAAGACAAGAAACTTGAATAAAACGTGTAGTAATTGTTTAAAAACATAATAGTTGCTTTGAAAAAGAGTTTTCAAAGTTTCCAATTTACTACTGAATAAAAGTTATTAGAAACTGTAGAAGCTACCGTTTTTTCTGTCAATGAAGTTACCAAGTGCTTAGATGTTATCAATTCTCTGATTCCCTCCACTTTCTTTTTTTTTTGGGGGGGGGGGGGAGGGGTTGGTGCAGGGTCTAAGACTCCATGGAAGGAGCTTAATTAATATACAGATGATGAAAAGAGGCTACCATGTTGCTTAGATGATAAGTTTAACCTGTTTCCTAGGATGAGTATTATTTAAGTAACATTCCCTTTTATTTTTCTTCCTTGTGATGAAAAAGAGGCATAGTTGACATTGTTCCTATCTATATAATATGCTCAGGTCTCTTCCTTTCTTATCAGAAAGCTCATATTCCAAATACTGACTCTTGCCCATGCACATATACCTGTTTGTGTGTCTTTCTCCATAATTATACATCACATCCATGCTATATTTAGTCTAGGTATGATGGCAAGTGGGGCAATCAATGTATCAAGGGGTTCAAGATCATCAGTTGAAGAACTATTGCAAATATACAATCACTCTGAAAGGTTTGATCAGTATTTTCATGTGAACGTATATCTGTTGTAAACTTGCAAATTCATGATTTGGTGCAGCCTTGATGTGCAAAAAGATGAATATTGTTACTTCATATACTTGAATGGCCAATTTTTATTCTTGAACACTCATAAGTTTTGCTATTATTACCCAGTGTTGCACTTGCTGTGGACAATCCTGAAATGTTTAATCGGATGGCAGAGACATTCTATTCTAAGACTTCCATGAGATTTCTGATTCTACTTTGGGGAGAAAAATCACAATTACTCGGTGACAGGAGCAAGGAGCTTCCTGTCTTTAATTTCGTGGAAGTCATGGATTTGGGGCAGCAGAGTCGCAAGGCCTTGTTAGAATCTCGTGAGTCTAGTGAGTCTACTGTCTATCATCCTTGAGCACAGATTTATATGTTTACAGTTTAGTATACTGCCTTGTTAGAATACTCCAAACCTTGGAAATTTCCTTATTGGGAAAGTATTAGTCAGTGGCATTAGGGATTTAGTAGCGTGTGGGTCCTTCCCTCATTGATGATGTGTTAAATTATTTATGAAATCTGGGCAAAAGAAAAATGATTTTGTGAGTCAATATTGACATAATTGTGCTCAATGTTAGTTTTATCGTCTGTCATCAAAATGAAAAGTGAAGACTGTGTAAGTTCCTAACATTCTATTCTGATTGCAGAGCAACACTATGTGTATGAAGCAATCAATTCTGATGACGTCGCTGCTCTTTTATACACAAGTGGAACTACTGGAAATGCAAAAGGTGTTATGCTTACTCATAGGAATCTTCTGCATCAGGTTTGTTAGTTAATCTTCTATCTAGTTTATTTTAGCAGTGGTACTTTAAATTGGGTTGTATTCACTACTCTGTCCTATCATTTTAAATTATGATTGTTACTTCTCGTGGGACAATCATTCATGAGGCAAAATAAAAAATGGGATGCTTTGAACAATTATTTACACCCTTCATGATAGCAATGGGAAGATCAATAACATCATAATAAGGATAGAACAATAAGGTAAAGAAAGGGGGCTACAAGGCAGTGATGCTAGCTGTGATGGATCAAGGACTGAATCTGAGAATGACTCATTACAATTACTAGGTAGTGTTTGCCTAAGAACAATTTACTTCTTGGCTGGTACATGAACAAATAATAAACCTTGCCAACTTGTCTGTCCTTCTACCCTTGTGTACCGTATTCTTCCCCTCACTTGAAAAATGTTAGCCCTTTTATGCCTTACATCATTGAAGAGATGGCTGGGTTGAAAGAAAAATCTCTTCTTACTCATGAAAAGTTGCATTTGTACTGGGAAGCATTTTTGTTGTTGGTGGATTTGTAGCCCTCTTTAGCAGCAGAGTACCCAATAAGCAACGCCAAAAGTCCAATTTACCAATATTGATTTTTCTCCTCTGGTCATTACTCATTACAAAGCAGATGTATCCAAGCACTTAGGGTGCATTTTCTAGGAAACTTAAGGGGTAGTTCTGTCCTGTCAGTGGTTGCAACTGATATTTGTCTTGAAATTAAGATTTTCTCTGATAAACAGCACCGGTTATCCCAATCAAGGAAAATATTGTAGCAACCTTCCTTCTTTGCTGTTCTCAAATCCTCTAACAGGAGAAGAAATGGTTGTTTTAGAGTTGCAAGACATCATGTAAGAAAAGGTTGCTAGGAAAAAGCAATATTCACCAAAATCTGCAACAAGATCACTCTAAATATAACAAGCATCTGGGTGAAGGAGGAACATGTGCCCATTGGTCGTAGAAGTAGAAAAATGGAAGACACAGTGCATTAGGGGGAAGATGTGAATGTTCCTTTCTTGTAAGCTCCATTTTGTAGAAAAGTTTCTGCACAATAAATTGCTTAGAGCATATTATTGCTTGTAGCTGTATAATTCCACTACACTAAACCTGAAATTATATAAAAAATTAAAAATTAAAAATATTGGAAAGGCCCTTATGTTTTCTCTCTTAAGGATTTATTCCTTGCCTCCTCCTCCTCTTCTTGTAAACTTCTTCTGGAAATTCAATTCTTCCAAGCTGTAATATCTTTGTAGAAGCTCTTCTTCTTGTCCCCCTCCTTTTTGGGGGGTTCTTTGGATGAGTAACCCACTAACCACAGTGCTTCATCATCTGACTCACCTCTTCTTTGTTTGGCTTAGAAACCCATGGCCTATTGGCTTACTTTTCCATTCTATTTTTTTATTCCCTTTTGAATGAGAACCTTTACGAGTTGAAATTTTCAGTTTAAAAATATTTCCTTTGTTTTAGTATATTATTGACACTATCATGCGTAAATTGATTTCTAGATTAAAAACTTATGGGATATTGTACCTGCTGAACCTGGGGATAGATTTCTAAGTATGCTGCCACCTTGGCATGCATATGAAAGGGCTTGTGAGTATTTCATTTTCTCACATGGAATTGAGCAAGTATACTCAACTGTGAGAAACCTAAAGGTACTTTTACTTTAATATGTTTTATGAATGTGAAAAGTGGCTTTCTATGCACCTCTAATATGACTTTAAGAAGAAAATGAGAGAAATGTAAAGGTCGTTTCTTTAACATAATTTTCTTTTGAGCATTATGTGGATTAGTTACTTAGTTTATTATTTGTGATAAAGGACAATGAATGTATTAATATCTTTTTTTTCCCCAGGTTGATTTGGAACATTATCAACCACATTACTTGATTTCTGTTCCTTTAGTTTATGAAACATTATACAGGTAAAATCATTTTCGAGGAGTTGTGTCAATGGTAGTGCCTTGCATGTAACAAAGTTTATAAATTGTATTGATGTTGCCCTACAAAAAGTAAAAAATTGTTTTCCAAGCGAAACATGGTGTATTTTGCCTGAACAATCTGTGTAGGCTTCTACTCAATATTCCTCATCTGTCTCAGTATATTCTTTTATAGACTATAAATCACTTGAGGTGATTCACATGCCAAAGCAGAACATCCTGCTTCTCTTCCTATTATGAAAGTTTTTAATTCTTTTACCAAAATGTCAAGGATTTACAGTTCTTTGTGACCATTTATGATTGTTATGCTGTAACCGTTTCATGTATAATTGAATTTGTCTTGCTGATATCATCTGACTTGGAGTGTACCATTTATGGTTTTTTGTTGTAGAAAATAATAAAAAAAATTGTATGAGATTTTAAGTCAACTTTTCTTGTAATTCATTATACTTCATGGCATTTTGAGGATGTTTTCTTTTAAATTATTTGAAAATGTGGTGGATTTCTTCATGAAGGTGAGGCCAATAAACTCCAAGCTGCATTTTGACATGTGATACTTAATTTTACCGTGTTAAAACTTCAAAGCTAAAATACTTTAGCATTATGAAGATATCTGTGTTTATGATGATGCAAGAATCCTGATCAACTGAATCATGTCTTGGATTTCTTTTAGGAAGATTATGGGTTTCAATGTTATTGATTTTTCTTGTATCTTCTATAGTGGGATCCAGAAGCAGATATCTACGAGTTCTCTTTTGAGAAAGCTTGTTGCACTGACTTTCATAAGGGTCAGCTTAACATACATGGAGTGTAAGAGGATATATGAGGTCTGTTTGTGGTGCATTCTTTAATAGTTTCTGAAGTTTGAGCATGATCCGTGAACTTCTTTCAACGATCTTATTGTTAGCCTTACTAATTCATTGTATATTTTGGATGAAAGCTATCAATGTATCACCAACTTTGTTTCCATCAAGTCCATAAGGATCAATGTTTCTAGCTACATGCTGCTCTTATGAGTTTATCTACCATCCTAGAGTACTGAACCAAATTGTTTGCATATTTGCAGGGAATTTTCTTCTCTGCTTCCTTCCAGTTTAGTATTCAATCATTGATTTAGAAGCTCCATTGATTTTTTTTTTTGGGGGGGCTTATCCATGCTTAGTTCTATATCTTGGCTTAGAAGTTACAGTATATCTCTTTCCTTTTGAGGCTGTGCCATGAGTCAATTAGGACTTCCTAAACTTTGTCTTCTTCATAAACTTGTGAATAAAATTATAATAAAAAAATTGAACTTGTATTTGCACTTTTTTGAAAAAAATTCCTTTAATTTAAGCTTCTTGTAATTGTAGCATTTTCAAGTTCATGTAGACCTTAAGTTTCAGTTAATGGTGATCTAGCTGAACTCGATCTCAATGAATATGACTGTAGGCTTGATTGATACCATCCTCAACTGATTAACTAGTGCATGATGGACCACATTCAATAATCGAACATGTGGTAGACAAGTATATATGACAAAAACTTTTAAGTTTTATATCTAGCATCGCTTCTTTCTTCTCCACCTTATACAAACATGTGAATGTTGTTTCTAATTTTATTGACAGCAAATTTCTTCATTTTTTTGTCCACAAGTTTTTAGTGATTTTGGCCAATGATATTGCTTTTAACAAATTTCAGTTTTATTTGTAGGGGAAATGCCTAACAAAGAATCAGAATCAGCCTTCCTATGTCTATTCAATATTGGATTGGTTATGGGCAAGAATTATTGCCATATTATTATTTCCAGTTCATTTGCTGGCAAAGAAACTTGTCTACAGTAAAATCCATTCAGCTATTGGGATAACAAAGGTCTCTTCTTATATATTTTGTAAATAAAACTATATATATCCTTTTAGTTGATTGTTTGTCTTTTAAACTTCTATCAAACTTCCCTGTCATTGGTACTTAATTTTGGTGGAGTGACATGCTGTCTCTAGATTGTAAGATGCTATTGATATTATTTTCCGTGCATGGCTTCTCTTGCATTTAGGAGGATCCTATTTTTTTGAGGATTGAAAGAAACTTGAGAATTAACCAAGAAAAATACATGTTTCTGTTTCTTTCTGTGTTCATCTAAGCTGCGTGCCATAACATGTCATTATCCATGATTTGGAAATGGATCACTTTTGTTCATGACCAGGAAAACTTTATGATGATATGCAGGCTGGAGTCAGTGGTGGTGGTAGTTTGCCCATGCATGTTGATAAATTTTTTGAGGTTTGATACTGACCACGTAGAACTTGGTAATGTTGATTCTTTTATGCATCCATTTCTCATATGTTTTTACTTGATGTTATGCAGGCAATTGGTGTGAAAGTGCAGAATGGATATGGTTTAACAGAGACTTCACCTGTTATTGCTGCTCGGCAACCTGGATGTAATGTAAGGAACTGACCAACTGCATAACAATATGCTGTGTATCGTTTATCTCAAGTACATGCTTTGCACTCCAATTTTAATAATGTACTTAAAAGAAGCTTTCAAACTATAAATCACGTTTTTTTTTTTTAACATTTTCACATCCATAAGTAATTTTATTCCCTTCTTGTAGTCTCTGATAAAAATATGTAATACAGTACAAATCAAGACTGACATTACAATTAGTCTTTTCTAGCGTTGTAAAACTATGACAGTTTGCACTTCAATTTTGTCATCCTTACGTTTTTTAATGGAAGTTCTGCCTGTAGGTACTTGGTATCGATAAGTTAACCTTGCTTCTGGGAAAAATGATCGTTCATCATCAGGATTGAATTGCTGAACCCCCTAATTACCATTTATCCCTTAAAAATATGTTGACAACTACAGAATTGCAGAGACATATTGTAACATTATATTGTTAAATTGCAATAGCTGCCTATTGCTGGGCTTTACTTTTTGTCTTATAAATATTACCCCAACTAAACTGTTGATAGCATTGAAAAAGTCATTTTCCATTACTTGCTCTGGAAATTGGAAATTAATTGCATATTTTTTTAATCAGGTTGTATTTTTTTTATAATATTTAATCCTGCAAAGAGTGGTTCTTGTCACAGAAAATTTTACAGATGCAATCTTGTGAAGGTTATTGGATCCGTTGGGCATCCCATTCAACATACAGAATTCAAAGTTGTAGATTCTGAAACCGGTGAAGTTCTTCCACCTGGTTCAAAGGGCATATTAAAAGTTAGAGGCTCACAAGTGATGAAAGGATACTATAAGGTAATCTACTTTGCTTAAATATTTATGATTTTATTCTATGTATGTATCTTTATCATTTGTGTGTGAAATAGAGAGGGGGGTGGAGGGACTGTGTGTCTCTTGTAAGTATATAATTGGATGCGCCCTTTGACCTTGGAGTAGTTTCCCTTCACAATATACAGAAGGTTTGTTAGGAATAAGAGGCCAAAATTCTCTTCCTAGTCATGTTGTAGTATATTGCGCTGGAGAGCATTTTGAAGGGTGTTTTGTGCCCCTTTGATGTTCGTCTCATGCTGCCTGCAAAGGGGGGTCTCTATCAGATCTGCTAAGAGATTGGATAGTTTTTCTGTTTCATGGATCCTTTTCTTTCTGTATTTTCTTTTGTCTTCCTTCTTTCCTTTAGTCAGATATCTTACCCTTCTCTCTTGTATTCTTCTTTCTTTTGGAGTGGCAATGAGCCACTGTTTGTTTAAATGTTCCAACATATGGGAGTGAAGGTATGTGGAGTGTGGTGTACCAAAAAAAAAAAGGGACAAAAATGTATCTTTTCCTTTGTGTGTGAAGATTGTTTTGATGTTCTGATGGGTATTTGAGTGGGATGGAAAACCCTACCCTAAAAGTTAGCTGTTAAAATGGGAGAACAAACTCTATATACCCCATTGAGCATCCCATACTACTCAATATGGAACTTGGTATCCCACATGACCAAATCTCCATCAATTAGCCCCCCCCCCATGGAAAGCTGATGTCTCGACGGCTGCACTTAACAGCACTTAACTCGATCTCTTTCTGGTCATAATTCTCTAAGGGTAGCTCTCTTCGGAACCGCCAATAATGAGGCTCTGATACCAATTGATAGGTACCTAAGTAGGATGGAAAACCCTACTCTAAAAGCTAGCTATTGAAATGGGAGAACCAACCCATTTATATACCCAATTGACTATCTTATACTATTCAATGTGAGACTTGATATCCCATACTACCAAGTCTCCATCATATTTTCTGTTTCTACAAGATGTTATTCTGTTGTAGAGAAATTTCTGACCTTTGTAGCGGCATTAGTGTGCAAAAATTTAGCTTCTATGATCAAGTTGACTGTGCATTATTATTGGCTGGATGATGTTGGGATGCTGTTGAATTTATCTTCATATGATGTTTCCGAAAGTTCCTAACTTTGACTTATTTCTGCCTTGCAAAGAAAAAGAAAAATTAAAGATAAACATCGCTGCTCTTGTATTTTAGCCGTTTTAGTATACTTTATCCTGCTTGCATTTGAATTTGGTCATATTGCCGGATTATCTCCCACAATTGAAATTTAGAGCATTGGCTTAAAAAAGGCTCCCAAGCATGTGGTCTGATGTTTTTCGATGCAACATATCTAATATAATATTAAAGCAACCTTTTCAATGGGCAGTCAGGAACACTACTTGAAAGCTCACATGTACATCATGTGGCTTTTTCTGGATGAAGTTGTGACAGTTACGTATCTTATTGTTGTGTTAGAATCCTTCAGCTACGGATCAAGTCATAGATAAGGATGGCTGGTTGAATACTGGTGATATCGGTTGGATAGTTCCTCGTCACTCCATTGGAAGGAGTCGTCGTTCTGGAGATGTGATAGTTGTGGAAGGCCGTGCAAAAGACACTATTGTTCTGTCAACAGGTATGACAGAAGTTTCATAACAATGCAGCCAATTTGTCTGTGCAGTCTAGAAATTCTCTCCCCTTCTCTCACACACACAGAGTACTGTCTAATTCTATTCTACTGGTGAATGTGAGATAATGCACGGTAAGAAAATAGCTTATCATTTGTAACTGAACTTGTTCAAACCCACCCTTCTATTTGTTTGCGCTTGTATTTCCTATGTCCAGAAAGTAAAAGCTTATAGTCATGCACCTTTTTCACAGGAGACTTCTATATGTAGATTTTCTAAAAGCTTCTCTTGATTTAAATATTTGATTATCTAAAATAGGTGAGGCTATTAGAAATAAGCTTAAAAGTCATCAAAAACCATTCTCTAGTTTAAATCTAGTGAAGCATTGTCAAATGCTTTTTAGGCCATTATGTGTGGCTCTGGAGTTTATTTTTCATTCATGAATCCTTATTGGCAAATCCTTAGCTCCCTAACTACTTGTTTGGATATGAAAAGGAGAAAATGTTGAGCCAGTAGAACTTGAAGAAGCTGCCCTGAGGAGTAGCTTAATTCAACATATTGTTGTGGTTGGCCAGGTGAACTTAGTTTTCCCATCAGTGGCTCTCAACTTTTCCAGCTCAAGCCATTCATATCAAGTGCCTATCTTAAAATTTTATGTTGTATACAATATAATAATTTTACATATTGATTGGTATCTGTGACAAAAGGATAAGCGACGACTGGGAGCTGTGATCGTTCCTAACAAGGAAGAAGTTGTGAAAACAGCAAGGAATTTGTCCATTATAGATTCCAGCAGTTCTGATGTCAGCAAAGAAAAAGTAACCAGCTTGATATATAAAGAATTGAAGACCTGGTAAGACTCACTTTGCTTCTGCATGTTGTACAGAATGGCAAGGAAATTATGTTGTAGATTTCATCTATCTGTATGGTATTTATTCGTGCGCTAATTAGCTTACTTGAACGTTGAGAGTGGAAGAGGCTGATTAATTTGCTATTATACTGGACTATTTGATCTAGGAGTGTCACTGATTATAGCCGGTCCTATTTATCCCTCAAGTTATTGGAATGTTCTCGGTACTTTTTATGTGAGAAAGTTGTTCCTATGAAAGGTAACATGTCAAATGTTAGGGTATTCTTCCGTTATCTTACTTTCTTACTTTCCACGCAGGACATCAAAATTTCCATTCCAAATTGGACCTATCCTTCTTATAGATGAGCCTTTCACGGTTAGATTTGAAATTCATAGCAGCAACTAAATGATATTTAAATCGTAAAAGTGATATATTCGGCTAATCTTTTGGCTTTGCTGACAGATTGATAGTGGCCTTATGACTCCCACCATGAAAGTTCGAAGGGAGAAAGTTGTGGCTCAATACAGGGAGCAAATAGACGATATGTACAAGTAAACTAGCTACTGATAATGGTCTCATACTGGCACAGGAGTGCTATGACCGTATTCTCTGTAAAGACAAGGAAATATTGTCCCTCCATATTTTTTTTAGTGCATCTTCCTAGTTTCTACAAAATAAAAAGGCTGCTTTCCGCATTAAGGTTTATCCTGATTCTACAATTACTTTGAAGCAACTATCAGGAACGTAGATAAATATAGATCCTGGAAGGAATATTTGAATCAAGAACAGGCAGACATGATTAACATTGCATCATGTGCCTGTCAAAATCATTCTACAAACACATGTAGAAAATATTCTAAGAAGCTAGAATGGCTGAACTTTGATATGCCATATGATGCAATTTATGTCTTGTAAAGAACACATTCTAAAACATTAGTGACTTAATGCAGTTTAGTCGACATATCTAAAACTGTAGATGAATATTAGAATTGAGGAGGAATGTAAGAAAGAGAAGGGACATATTGAAGAAAATTGGGAGCCGCGGAGAGATAGAGAAGAGGAAGGAGAAGGAAGGGAAGCAAGAGGGGGCTGACAAGTTGATAAAAGTCATTTGATAAACTCAAAAGATTTCAAAGATAACTCTTAAATAAGACAAGTTGCGACAAAGAAAATAAAAAAAGATACTTAATTAAAAAATAATATAAATCTAGCAAACATATAATTCTCATGTTTGATTTTCAACTTCTAGTTTACAGATTGATAATATCTCGTTGTAACAGTTTCTTCCTATCCTCTATTGCTAAGATTTTCGATCAGACGTTTGAAGTCACCAAAAGTCATGTCATGAACATTTTCCTTCCTTATGTTATGCTTGGCATAAGAGAAAGTGAGGGGAAAAGAAAAGTGGGAGGAAAAAGTGAAGGAAAAATAATATTTATCTCTACTTGGTTACAAAGAGAAAAGTGAGAGAAAAATAACATGTTAAATCTACATGTTTTTACTTTCAACTTTTCTTTTTAAAAGTGGAGGGATTTTGGAAAGAAAAATTTTATTTTCAAATTTATCAATTTTTTCACTGCCACCTCTTACTTCCCTCCATTGTTATCATGATATTTATAATGTAATTACATTTTGATAATGAACTTTTATTAAGCAAGTATATTTAATTTTTTGATTAATTAAACAAATACTAATTCTAATTTTTCAAGTTAATTTTTAATTAAGTATTTTATATTTGGTTGTATTTTCAAATTTTAAGATTATTATATATTTAATATTTTAATAAATAAAATTTTAAACTGGATAAAATATTTTTTAATTATGTTTTGGTTCAGTTGATAGTATATAATAGATATTATTATTATTATATATATAATATGTTAAAATGTTAAATTTTATTATATAAACATTTTTATAAATAATAAGGTTATTATTTTTCATATAAAATTGATAGCTTTCTTCTTCTTCCTGTTTTTTCTTGTTTAGTCAAATATAGTGAGAGAAAATTATATCCCTTCATTTTTCTCTTTCCTTTATTTTTTTTCTTCTCATTTTCTCTCCTTCTTATCTTCCTCTACGAGGCAAGAACAGCATTAAAGTGGTGATATCTCTTGGCATCTCGAACATAAATATCTCCTTGCAATAGTGCTGATGAGTTTCAAAACAGTATGACAATGTCCACAAACACGAAGATTTTTCACCATGCGTATAATTATTCCAGGAACAGCCTTGAGAAGCCCATAAGCCACAGCTACCTCTCACTGTGCCAGAAAAGCTGTCTATCTTTCTCTTGCTGATCCATGTCGTGTAAGACAGAACTAGTATCAGGAACATAAGTTCTTCTCCTCGTCTCTGCATCTATCTTTCTCATTAAACCTAGAATCTCATCCGTCATTGGATTTGGATGACATGTCTCTCCAGCATAAAACACATGGTTCTCAGTTCCCCTCCGTCCCTTCCCGTTTTACATGACATGGCTTTCCTTTCCCAGATCAACGGAACTTAACCAGGTTCCTTCTTAACTTCCATCATTGCCATTGACTTTCTCACTTTCGACACATTTTCCCACATACCAGCTCCCCATTGATATTAGACAGCAATATATGGGTGGAGGGATCTTCTAGTTTTGTTTTTTATATATGATCAGCAATCCTAATTGCCATCTGGGTTTTACCATGGGACTTAAAACTACTAAGTAATGCAGCCCATGTTTTTTGATATAAGCGCATTGCTTATGAGTTATGAATAAACAAGATTCATATCCAAGAGTTATAACCAGACCATGTATCTGTTTTCCAAGCTCCAAAACAGCTAAATTGGCAGAAGCACCAACGACGCTTGAAAGAACCAATTGGTCTACCATATCAATCCCATCTTTTCTCATTTCAATGAAGAAGCATAAGCTATCAACTTCACCCCCACTCAGTATCAACCCAGAAATCAAAGATGTCCAAGTAAACAAGTTCGTATGCGGTACTCTATGAAACAGTTCAATGGCATCTGATTTTCGTCCATTGCGAGCATACCCAGATATGATAGCAGTCCAAGAAACCGGATTTAATGAAGAAATTGAATCAAACACGGAACGTGCAAGATCAGGCAACTCACATTTGGCGTACATATCGACCAATGATGACTTTGCAACATCGTCTTCCCAGAAGCGTTGACCAGGAAACACAATCTTTGTGAAGCATTTCTTCGAACAGTCTAAGGGCATTTTGAACAATACCACATTTGCCGTAGGCGTCGAGGAGAGTGTTGGGCAAAGGCTCGCATGAGTGAAGTAAAGATTTCAAGATTTGAGCGAGAAGCTTCTTGGCGAGAGATGGGTTGAGGCTCATGGAAGATCGTTGAAGTTGGAGCACGTACTGAGAAACAGGCATTCATCATCGAAGTTCGAGCAACGACCCCTCAATTCAGGAGTGGAGATGTGAAGGGCATAGAGCACTATCAATTACAGACAACAATGGGGAATGAAGGCCCAATGTGTCTTTGCCAACCAAAGCCCAAATCGTTAACTGGCCCGTGCTTCCTTGCCAAATGAGCCAGACTGCGTCAACGGTCCAAATCGCCCATTAACCCCCATTACATAGCTCACCAGCACAACCCACTCGGGCAATTTTGGTGCTCATCCTTGTCATGCCGTTGAGATATGGGATATCGACCCTCTAAATTTTAACCTGAATAGTTTATATTTAAATGTTTAATTTATTTTTATTGAAATAAAAATTATAAAAAATTAATAAATTTATTTTATTATCAGAATAATGAAGATTTAATTTAGATATTCTAATTTAATATTAAAATTTTTTAGAATTTTTATAAATTGATTTGTAGTTTAAATTTAAAATTTTTAACTCACAAATTTTTTCAAAAAAAAAAGTGCTAGTTTGGAAACTTTCTTTAATTTTAATATTATATTTATTAAAATAAAATTTTTAAACTTTCTTTAATTTTAATATTATATTTATTAAAATAAAATTTTTAAAAATTTTAATATTAAATCTAGACTATCGTAAGTGCATTTAGATAGTTAATTTATAAAAATTTTAAAAAAATTAAATATTTATTTAGATTATTTAAATTAAATAAATATTATTTAAATTGGTGATAAAGTAAATTTATTAAAAATTTTATAATTTTACTTTAATAAATAAAAATACAAGTAAAACAAATAAAACCTTTAAATTTAGACCATTTAAAATAAATTTTGAATGATCTAAATCTCATCAGCCCTCAACAAGCATATGAGCATTAAGACTGGTTCCTTAAGCTGATCTTAAAACATGAGATACAACTTTATGAAAGTTTCTCCTTTATGGTCAACATCTATCTTAGCAATGTGACCGGTTGTATATACTATATTTTAATATAATTTATTAGTTTTAGATAATTTTATATTATATTTGGATGTATGTGAATATAAATTTAAATTTAAATTTAAATTTAAGTTAAATTTACTTTTTTGAGTAATTAAAAATGTGATTAAATTTAAATTTAAATCCTACCTCAATTCTTTTATAATTTTAAATTTTTTTAAACCTTTATTATTTTAAATTTCAATCGAAGCTACTCTCTTCCTTCGCATTCGTTCATTGAAATTGACTACCTTCTCAATTTCAACATTGCTACCTCTAACCGACATCCATTGAGACCGAACCACTAGTGTCTACTAGGATCGAATTGTCAGTATTGACGAGGACAGGATTGCAGCGACAATCTGGACCAAACTATCGAAGTTGTTTGGGACTTGATGGTTGACACTAACAAGGACCCAACTATCAATTTTGATTGGCACCAAACCGCACACACAAATTAGGACTAGACTACTAGTTGTGATTGGCACCAGATTGGCATGGATTTGAGGTGAGAATTTGGATTTGAAATCTCACATTATAATATTAAAATTTTTGTTTGGATGGTATAAAAAATTTTAAATTATAACATTAAAATCTTTTGTTTGGATCAAATATGAGATTTCAAATTCAAATTCTCAACCCAAATTCACTCATCTAAATGTTTCAATTTCATATAAAATTCTAAATTTAAAATTTTCTATTTGAATTTAAAGGCAACTTAGATGATATTGGTGGTTCGGTCTTAATCAAAATTGGTGGTTTAGTCTAAATCAACGATGGCAGCTCGATTTTGGTTGACTCCTGTTCTTCGAACCTAAAGGACGTCAGTGATCTAGTCTCGATCACAGTCAGCTGTTTGGTCCTCCTTAACGCTAGCTATTTAGTTATAGTCACAATTGCTAGTCTGGTGTCAATCATAACTAGTGGTTCAGTTTAATCTCGATCAAAGATTGCAGTCCTGTCCCATTTGGTGCTATTCGTGTGATCTCGATCAAAGTTGGTAGTTCGGTCCCTATTATCGTTGACCATCAAGCCTCGATCAACTTTGACGATCTAATCCTAATTGTTACTTGTAGTCCAGTCCCTATTGATGCCAACAACTTGGTCCCAATTAACTCTGGCGGTCCGATCTTGATGGATGTTAGTCGGAGGTAGTAATGTTTAAATAGAAAAGATAATGAAATTGATGAATGAATGCAAAAGACGAGATAATCTTTTTTAAAAATTTGAAATAATATAAGTTTAGAAAGAATTAAAAATTATAAAAGAATTGAGATATGATTTAGATTTTCACACATTTTTTAATTATTTAAATAATAAATTTAATTTAAATTTAAATTTAAATTT